AGCCCACCAGTGTTACTTTTTAACAGTATTTCACTCATATACTCATAAATGTATAATAAATAAAAGTTCTACTTTTTAAGTAATTGGTACATTTTAAGTGTATTTGTTTATTTATTGGTCCATCTATATATTTATGCTCTTCTTTCTATATGTCAGATTCAGTCCTTCATATGCTTTGACAAATTGTCAGGTCTCTGACTGAACAGAAGTGTCTGATTTTATTAACTTTGCACTGCAACTGTTTTAATGTAGTTAGAATGTTTACCAAATGGTCTAACTTCAACACATCTACTTGTCTTGGACAAATGCTCTCATTTACACTAATTTTCAAAGCTAATCTAATTGTATTTGATGAAGAGACTGAAATAAATGTTATTTGAATTTTAACTGTATTTGGTGCAATTATTTTTAAGAAACTGAACTTGCCATTGTTAGTGGAGACAGGGAAGAAAACTTGCAAATGTTGGTTTACTTAAATTGCAATTTTAAGTTCAAAAGCTGCCTTAAAAACTTGAGTTAACTTCACTTGAATAATTAATTGGTATGAATGTAGTTAGTCATTTTAACTTTAAAATGTGAGCAGAAAGGATGCATAATCGTATGTTATTTTGACAAAAGTTTTCTTCATTGTATAATGCAACTTTGTAAGTTGTTTTAACTCAGAGTAACAAGTTGAAACAAGTGGTCATTAATTAGACAACTGGTATAACTTCATTTTGTGAGTTGAAATGGTATATAATTGCAAGTTTCCTTGACAAGAGAAATCAAATTTTTTGGAATGAATAATTGCGGGTGTTTCAGAATAGAATAGAATAGAGAGATGTAAACACTTATTGAGTTTAAATGTAATGGAAGCAGTGGTGATCATAGAGTCTGGAGGAATGATCTGTGATAACACATGGAGCTTTCCAGCTGTGCAACAGCTTCATGGGGTAGGAGACATCCAGCAGTGATGTCATTTAAGCTAGAGTCCTTCTGTATTCCATCACCTGCAGTATGGTGGGGGCATATACTGTATGTAGTCCACAAGCAAGGCACACAACAGTTCAGGGTGCTTCAGGGAGCATTTTTCGCTCTCAAAAATACTGCACAGAAATGGATAAAATTTAAATAAGTTAGATAGTTAGCCCCTCTATCAGACAGTCTTTGTCCAGGGCATGTAAGACACACTAAAGTCTGTGGGAGGTCACAATGGCATCCCAAACTCCATTTAATTGGGTTTGGCCTTATTAACTGTAATTCTTTTATGAAATTTGACTATTACGCATAATTCTACACCCTTTCTTCCCATCTCAGACCCACAGATCTTCAAGGCTCCCAAATGCATTTGGCTTTTGGTCAGGAGTGTGGCACCAGACCTGAGATATTTTAAAGGAGGCCCAAGAGAGGAAGAATGGTGCAGGTATAAGAATTAACCTGCACAGTTCTCAAATCAGTACCCTGAAAAATGTAGGGATTTTCAAAATTGTGCGGGGGGCCACACAGGTGAAGGAGTGC